GAGAAGGGAACCTGCTGTAGAGCATCTTGGCCTTGGAGGATGAAGCACGCTTGGTTGAGAACATTACCCTGTGTCAATGTGTGAAGGCTGAGAACGGACCGATTATTCTAGGTTTTATTTCCACCACAAGAACCTTGCCCATTTACTCGAAGGCAAGAAAAGGAAACGCAGGCCAGGTGTGATGGCCCACATCTGCAATCCCAGTGCTTGGAAGGTAGAGGCTTGAGGGTCAGGGGTTCAAGCTCAAGCTCATCCTTCTATACATAGCGAGTTTGAAGTGAGTCTGGGCTGTGAGAGATGGGGGTGGAGGGGATGGGAGGGAGCCTGTACATTATCTTGTAGACCCGTGTTTCGGCACCGACATTGCTGAATCCCAGCCAACTACCAGCCGGTGTATTAGGTAAGCTGGGTGAGCAAGTGACAGAAACCTTCCAAGTCCCCGTGGCTTAACGCTCAATAGCTCACTTCTCACCTGCACAAAGCCTGCTTTGGGGTGAGTGGCCTTTAGAAGGAATCTCCCCTCCCCTCGCTCCCCAGGGGGCTGGAGAGATGGCTCAGCGGTTAAGAGCACTGGCTGTTCTTCCAAAGGTCCTGAGTTCAATTCCCAGCAACCACATGGTGGCTCACAACCATCTATAATGAGATCTGGTGCCCTCTTCTGGCCTGTAGGCATACATGCAGACAGAATACTGTATACATAATAAATAAATAAATCTTAAAAGGAATCCCTCCTTCCAAAGGTGACTCACAGATTCATGCACATGGCCTCACTACCTCCATAGGAGCTGGCCAGAGGTCTCCCATCAGGAGGAATGGCTTACCATTGTCTGAGACCCAGAGGGATCTGTGTGGGTCATGTAGTCCTGTTCAGTAGCAAGAAAGGTAGAAGTGTTTTCCTCTGGGAGTCCAGGAAAACGGGGAGAATGAGACATGGGGAGATACAATGTCTTTACCATGAGGAAGAGAAATGCAGCTTTTAGAAGTTGGTACTACATTTTCCATCCACCAATGTGCCTCTTCCTCTACCACACCAGCCCAGAGGAAGGATGCCTGCCTGTGATTTTGTTATGAGGCTAAGTGAGCACCCTCATGCCTCCTGCTTTCCTGTGCCCATATATGGAATGAGATCAATGGACAGCTCAAGGTTGTGTCAAGGTTCTGTAAACTCAAGTAGGATATCATTCCATGTCCAAGGCTGAGGCCTCTGCCTCTGTGTTCTACATCCACAGGATATCTGTTGCTTATGCCCATCAACCAGCAAATGATAGATCAATTCTTCTTTCCTTGGCAAGATGGAAAGAACCCGTATTCGGCGCTAAGTTCTTTTTAAAATACGAAAGCTACTTTGGAAAAAAAAAGTTGTTGAAATGTTTGTAAAATAACTTTTGTTATTAGAACCTTATTTGTTTATTTAGTTTAGTTGTTTAGTGTGGCGGTGTGTGTGTGTGTGTGTGTGTGTGTGTGTGTGTGTGTGTGTGTGTGCCACAGCATGCGTGTGGAGGTCAGAGGACAACTTGCAGACATGGGTTCTCTTCTTTAACCATGTGGGACCTGAGGGCTGTGGCAGCCTTCTTCAAGTGTGCAATTCCGTAACTCAGCAGGGCACTTGGCTCTCGTCCTGAGAGCTTTCCTGTCACGCGTGGTGGACACTGTGCCCACAGACCAATGTCCCACTTCCCGGGCGGCCACCATTCTACTTTGCTTCTGTGACTTGATTATTTCCATGGCCTCGCACAAGTGGAAAATTTAAGAACTTTCATCCAAGAAGCATGTAAGAAGCAACGCCACAGATGAGTGGACTCTTGCTTCTCACCAGCTTTTGAGACGGGACGGACATCATGAGATGAGCGTCCCTTGCTGGATCTCTGCTCTTGGTGGCTGCAAAGCAATTAAAAAACACAACTGTGGAAGTTAAGATACTAAGATTTCCTCATAAAATAATCCACTTCTTGGGCTTCATCCGTTACTCTCCACGTTGAAGCCTCAGTACCATCAATATGACAGGCAGGCGATATTGCCTCATCTGTCATGATTTACTTAATGTTTTCTGAATTTAGTAATATTTGATTAAAATTTAATGTGAACATATCATACTATGCCATATATATTATTGCATCCATTAATCAGGTAACGATCATAATGAAATACCGGAAGGGTGGATGAAAAAGGAGCTGAAATCTTGATGTATGTTTGACATAATTCTGCGAGTGATTAACTAAAAATAAGAGTCAGTCTTACAAAAACTCATTAATATATATTACTTCTATAACCATCTATGTATCATCAGATATTTTTAACCTTTGTTAAGCTTGATTTTTTTAATTTAACAAAAGACAATAAATATTAATAACCGCGAAAGATATACATTATCCTATCGAAACACAAGTTGACAGAATGATTCATAGTTTTATTCTAATATTTTTGGGTATAATGATGTGTGTTAAAACATTAGCTAAGTTATTTAATCAGTTAGTCATGGGGAAAACGACACACAGTTAACATAGGGTTGAGTAAGATGCTAATTTAAATAGCACATCATATTTCTATCGTCTTCAACTTCCATGTCATCGAATATCACCAATAACCAGCACGACAATGTATAATGGATGCTCAGCCAGGGCTGACTTTGATGTGTAAGTATCCCCTTTTGTCCCATTTAAACAGGGAACTGGTCATCACTTGTTCTCTTTACTACTGCTGTTTTAATCAGCTAACTCAGGAGGGACCAGTTGGAGCTCAATCACCTATCTGTCCTGGCCATTGAAATAGTTGAAGAGGGGGGTGTGCGTTTGGCGAAGCAATTGAGCAGAGTAATCAGTTCAGTACAAGACAGTTTAATTGTGACTTGATGGAGGAACATTGATTATCTAAACACAATTATTCCTCCTAGTTGCTTGTCTCTTAGATTGTATTGAGATGTTCATCATTCACTCATCTGTCATCACTTTATTTTGAATTGGCCTTGTCTCATGACAGGTTCATGTTGGGTTCTGGGGTACAGGATGCCGTGACATGTTCCTGGTTCCCATACCCTGACAACCTGCTAATGGCTGGAAGTACAAACCAGTGTTAGCGGGGGTGGGGGGTGGTGTGTGTGGGGGTGGGATCCAGAAAGGAACCTAAAAAAATGATGTGGGGCACAGTGAAGACTTTCCAAGTCTGGGAGTATCTGGGAAGACCTCTCAGGAGGTTCTCTGCTCAGGTGTGAAAATAGCTCCAGGTCAGACACATGCAGTGGTGATGTGCAGGTATTTAGAGAGAATGAATAGCGTATGCAGGCTCCAAGGCATGATAAAGAATGTTCTCGGAGACGAGAGACCCACTCCCATGTTTAATGACTATGCACCAAAAAGGGATGATACAAATGTCAAGCTTTTTTTGGGGGGGTGGGGTGGGGTGCTGCCTCCTGAGAGGACTTTGTTTGAAGCCCAGGGCCAAAGCAGCTGCCTTCAGTCTACTTGGGTTTTGTGTTTGTCTCTGAGACGGTGTCCCTATGTAGTCCTGCCTAGTCTGGGACTCACTATATAGTCAAGGCTGGTTTTGAACTTGCAATCTTGCTGTATCCACCTCTGCAGGGCTGTTATTACAAGCACGTGCTCAAACTACCTAGAAGGGCTTGGTAACAGAGGATCCTTGAGAGAAGTAAAGATGGGGGAGGTGTGTAGGGATGATACAGAAATGCACATTCTGAGACCACTGCAGGGGCATTGCCCTGCAGAAGTATCATTGATAAAACACTCCCCAAAATTAACTTCATTTTTTAAAATATTCAAACAGAGCAACCATAGGCAGAAGTAGGAGCTGAGCTTGGTAATACGCTTTATGGCTAAGTCCTATGTTAATGGGGGATTGCTTCCCACAAGGGATGAAAAATAGTTTTGAAAGCTGGGCATGATCATATGCTATAATCCTGGTACTCAGGAAGCTTTGGCAGGGGGATTACCATGTGTCATAAGCCAGCTAGTGATATGTATCAAGACCCTGTCTTCAGACCAACCATTTAAACACGAGGCCCACTTTATCTTTTCTTTGGAAAGTGCTATTTAAATGGAAGTGTGAGCAGAAAGGGGTGGGAACAGGCCACATTATCAGGATTTGAGATAACACACCCAGAAAATATTCAATAAAGGGTTCCTTCATATTTAAACAACGGCTTGAGGAAAACCAACAATTTGACTCTTAGGTTATTGGGAAAAGAATCTTCTTGAAGGTGAGATTGTTTTAGAAGTAGGAGGTACCAGATCTAGGAAGAAAGGAAAGTGGTATCCGTATCCAGAAGGGAAGGTTAGATCTACCTGTCACTTGTAGTTGAATGGTTCGACCCTGTCCTCAGGGTGGGAAGTGCTCCCAGTTGGAAATCGGTGCTG